ATATGTGATATGGAAGCACGTAAATTAATAGTACAACGTCTCATTCGTCTCAGTATAGATATAGCGTACCTACTCGTTGTAATATCGAAAAATAATATTCACTATTAAAATCAATTATTGGACAGGCCAGACAGGGAAAGATTTTCCATACAAGGGGACACGGCCGGCGTTATCGTGCGTTATGTCCGTTTGTACTAAAAATAAATTACAAAACGGAATAAATTAATAGTTAATATAAATACGAACAATCGCCAACGTTCAAAAACAACTCCTTAGTGGCCGTAAACAAAAATCTATTTTAATKCCTATTCCAGAAATAGGTACTTATTAATAATGGTACAAAAACAACACAACCACGACAATAATAATGACTTTATTATTTTTTTATTATATTATAATATTCAAACATTCACAAGTTACAACTCTACGCGAGTCACGACGGCAAAATGTCCATCTCTTTCGTAAGTTCAATTACTCGTAATATTATCATTTATCATTATCAATATCATCATAGCTTCAAAAGGCAATAAATGTATGTTTTACAACTGTGGCAAAAGTAAGAGAAATGATAAAAAATAAAAATACCAAGTTATTCCGTTTTCCCAAAAATCAAAACCTGGCAAAAGAATGGGTTAAGCAGTCASGTTAGTTGAATTAAAATCTAATTTWAAAAAAGCGGGTAAGTGRATGTCGCTMTGCTGTACATTAGGTGGTGGGRTGGACCTCTGACTAGGGCAGGTTAGATTTGAATGCAATRATAGGTATCATTGTATACGAAAAATGATTCTGAACGGAGATGRTTTGTCAGTCTAGAATATATTATATTTAAATATTGTCATATATTCTGTTTTGAAACAAATATTCTATTTTTCAATTAGGACGCATTTTGCATACCTAAGACATTCATAAAAATTTAAAACTCAAACGCTCAAAACATTTTTCCTATAATGACGCTTCAAATTTTCTCTATAGCTATTTGAAGCAAAACTGATGTACAACTTAATGTTGAATTTTTTAACCTTAGATATAAATACAAACAATTTTATGAATTTTGTACTACAAAATAATTTGCAAATATTCATGGTTTTGAYGAATTTTCGTCAATATTTGAACTTCAAATGTTAATAAAAAAAATTGTGCCTATGTATTCTTATAATTTTTTAATCACTATAAGAATAACTTATGACGAACATTGCATTAAATTTTCATATATTTTGATTTGGAAAAAAAATTTTATCGACACTTAAAAAAAAATGTTCCGAAACATTGAAAATTTCAGTTGTCTATAAATATCTCAAAAAAAGTCAAAATATTTTTTTAATTAAATCATGTAAAGAAAATTCTAATCTAAATTTGTAAAATTTTCAAGTATCTACAACTTATACTTTTTGAATAATAACAAATAAGTAAAATCGTTTGAAGATAAATCGTTATCGTTACGCTATTTCGTAAAGATTTAAAATTCAAACGAACTTAAAAATTTTCCTATAATGATGCTTCGAGTTTTCTCTGCAATAGCTACTTGAAATAAAATATATGGAAAACTTA